AACAGTGGGTACTTCTGCGATAAACTGGTTGACGAGGCGTGCACTGAGGGTACGGTATTGGTTGCAAAGCGTTTCTGAATGACGAGTCATCATGACGGAGGAAATCTTGAGAGCTGTTTGGCGTGCGAATGAGCTGGCTAGCTATTCAAATTGGTCGAAATGGGTACTGTGTCGCAATTTTTGGGTAGTATGCTATGCTTTTCCCAGGCTAGGAGACCAAAATATTCCTTCAAATTTGTTGAACAAGTGTTGTAAGTTCCTTAACTTAACACAACATAAGTACGTGACAAATAAGCCTTTTTCAGGCAATCCTGGAATGCGGCTGAAATAGAAAGGGTCTTTATGCGGGGCATGAAAGGGCTTTCTGTTACCTTTTTTTCTTTTTCAAACCACTCCGTCTAGCTTCTGAGAACTCTTCCGTAGCTATTTTATACCGAAGCTTGCCTTTTAGAGGAATTCAAAGGAATTCCCGTTCTTACGCTCCTCGGGAAGGATAACATCCTGCCGATTGTTTTCTAATATTCTTGTTCACTGTAGGGGAATTTTTCCAAAAAAAAACAACAGTTAAGCAAAATGCTCACCTGTGCCAATGACGATCACACAGAGAATATGTACTGGTTTTGTTCTAGTCACCCTCGAATTAAACATCATACTAGTAGTGAGAACCGCATATTACTATTACTTCATTCTCTTGACGTGATTTTTATCTGAAACAAGATGCTCATCTCGTGGGAGACCGTTATTAGCGCTGATAGTGACAAAAAAGGGTGATGCAGATAATCCGCGGACGATGTAAAGAATGGATTAACAGCCACTGAAGGGAACACTGAGGGGTGGAGAGGATGGTGAAAAGCAAGTATGTGTGACACTATTGAAGTATGACAACTCCAATCGCAAAAATTAATTTATATGTTTACTTAATGTATATTTATACATTTATACTCACTCATTTTATATTTGTTTATTTTATTTTTCTTTAAAACTTTGCCCATCTCGGAGACTTGCTCTCACTTTTTGGCAACAACTGCCTCTGACTTTGGTGGTCGCAAAGAAGTTTAGTTCAAAATTTTCTCATCAACCCAATCCGTAAGAGAGATGCGGCGCACCTCGAGCTCGTGCAGAAACTTTTTGCATTTTATCAGTTGAATCTATTCGGGTTGCTCCAATAAAAACCAGCATAGAAAGAGTCGGTAACCCTTCAAATAATGACTGCTTCCCAAATTTTCTGGAAGGAGTGACGGCAGATCCTGAGATCAAAAGCGATGTGACTCACGCTGGCTTCATCGTTGTGAGCCATCCTCTTCTAGGTGATTGCCCCAATCCTCTGAGTGTGCACAGTTCTTGAACTTCCACTTTTCGCAATCCCAGAGACGTGTGCTTGAACCTTGAGAGCACCGAACATGTTTCAAAGAGTTGAAGAGGGAATACCGAGTCGCTTTCCGAAGTTGCAATTTCAGAGACCGTCATTGGGCAGCCTCTTGGTAATGGGTCGATGCAAAAAATCTTCATGGCGAGAGTTCAGATGAACTTTGGACCAAACAACTTATGGTGCTTCTTACATAGTTTCAAAGCTTTCGAATAGTTTTGAAACACTCTGAAAATACTCCACGGCTCAGTGCCAGCAAGCGGTCAAAGCCGCGTCCTATACTTTTCGGCCACCCTGTATGCTAACGTACGTACGAAATTTTATGACCTACACTCATTGTTGCCGTGACGTAATTAAGCACTAATACGGTGGCTGAAGGGCGGTAGTGTTTTAGTGACACCCTCCAATGGCATTGGTGGAAGGGCGTTAAGAGGCG